ACTAGTCAACAAGCACAAGATAATCATTATTCTTGGTAGCGTCTTCTGGGACTCGAAGACGAAGTCCATTGAAACGGACTACCAGCACTCTGCGGGGACAGGTAGAGGCTGTAAGGGTGCACGGGAAGAAAAACTGGACTTCAATTGTTGACAAACCTCGCAAGCACGAATGTACTTGCGGACAAACTCATACTGGTGGGGTCAGTAAAAGTCTCGACTTACTGCAAGGTAAGTCTTTTCTTGATTACGATGACCATGTGTTGGAGCATCGTGAAACTCATACAAGATGCGCAAGCGCAAATTGTTATGTGCGGGGACAAAGACAAGAGGTGTGTCGCCGGCAACGGCTGTATAGTACAGCAACCCGTTGCGAGTTGTGTACCGATCCGATGAGGAACGGGACAGAGCCGGTAAATCATTCAAGGAATTATGAGATGGATTCAACAGATGATCCATCAAGCGCAGAAGAAGCTTGTATTCTGCGTAGGCCTTTCTTACGTCTTCAGTTAATGTTAACGACGGGACACTGGCTGTAAGTGTTGCAACAGTGGCCTTATCTTCACTGTTGGACTGCGCGCCCGACTCGAAATCGGGTCGGCGCGATAGGACGTCAATGACGACGCTCAGTAGTCCTGGTTTACACTCATCGGAGAAGTTGTACTCCGCGAAGAAAGACAGCCACCTCGACATTTTTTGCGAGAGATGTGGACTGTTTACGGCCGTGCGTAGTGACGCATGGTCCGTATAGACAATGAACGGTCTATCGCCCAAGAGATAGACACGAAGCTTAGCCAGTGCGTACATCATGGAAAGAAGTTACTTGTTATGCACTGGGTAATTACGTTCAGCTGCTTGCAGCTGACGCGATTGATAACAGATGACGCGTTTTGCGTCATCTGTGTCAAATTGCATCAATGCACAGCCGATTGCAAAGTCGCTGGCGTCATAGACCACATGAAATGGTCTGTCATGATTTGCAATCGCCAGTATCGGCGATTGCATCAAGCTTTTCTTGATACCTTCAAAGAAACGCTAACGGTCAGCGTTCCACAACCACTTCACATTTTTCTTGAGTAAAAAAGAATGATGATTAGCCATCTCGGCGTAGTTTCGGGAGGACTTGTGCAAGTACGCCGCTATCCCAAGGAACTTACGAAGTCCCTGGACATCGACTAGCACAGGCCAGTCGGTAAACACCTTGATGTTCTCGGGATCAGGGCGTACGTCGTGTTTACCCACGATGCACCCAAGAAGTGGTATTTCGCTAGCCGCACATATGCACTTCTTGAGGTTGGAATACAACTTATGTTTGCGCATAAGGTGAAGAAACCGACGAACGTGAGTTCTATGAACTTCCACGTCCATTCTACCGTTCATAGCTCGGATATGTACGAACACATCGTCGAAGTACATCGGTGCGAAATCACGCACCGGTCTCAACAGATTGGTACTCATCTGTTTAATGTTGCAGGAACATTACCCAGTTGCTGTGGCATCACTAGCCACTCCCACAGCATGCCGCTGGGGTTCTCGCTGCTGTGTACGGGATGTACCGTTCACGCAGGAGGATTTGATAGAGCCCATCCATCAGATCCATGGACGAAAAGACGGTACTCTTTGACATACCATCTATGATTACGTCCTTCCTCGGTATCAACGTATGAGCTGGCACCTTTGCAGCATTCAACTTGCTGAAAACGAGTGCACTATCCGCCACCCTTCTGTGGGCTTTCGCACACAGAAGGTCGGAAAGCTGTGAGGGGATGTTGATTCCCTCACATGGCTCGCTGCTAAGCGATCGGCAAAGAACCTGTCGATCGCTAGTACTTGTTCACGAGGCAGTGGCCACTGCTTCATGACACAGTACTTCGAGCCCGGTTTGAGCTTGATCTCGTGTCGAGTGCCTTTGTTCTTAGGCAACTCGCATGGCACGGATTCAGGGAACACATCCTTGAATTCGATCAAATCCTTATACAAAGAATTCGCCTGGAGATACTTCCAGGATTGAGACATGTATCGCTCAATCCGAGTCTTCTCATCGAGGACACTTTGGTCCATCGATGAGCTGCTGAGATCCCGTTCGTTTTCAGTGAATACTATTGCGAACCGAATATCGGCTACATACTTATCCTCTGTGATGAGTATGCAGATCTGCTTGACTTTGCCACTACGCAGATCACGCAAGAACCGGTTTGTTTCTAGAATTGGCAATTGAGTTATCTACGAATTTAACTTCGGAGGCACAATCAGATCAAGTATATAAGCGCCTACGCTTGATCCGTCATTAACCAAGACGTTTAACGTCTCAGTTTCTTCCTGGGAAGTTGTTTCTACATGTTGCTGAGAGCCTAATCCCTCAGAATTTATCTCTTTAGGAAGTCCTTCCTCAAGCACGTGGGGACTTATTCCCTCGACGACTTCTGACTGTGGCTGTGCAACCACAGTCAGGTCTCGATCCTCTACGGTCAGCTCTCCAGTTGACCTAGAATGAGCTTGTTGCCCTATGGCGGCAACAGGTTTCTTCTTCCTAAGAAGTTGATCGCTAATCATACGTCCATGTCCTGTACATCTGTACAGCCGCCGGGAGCTTGCTTCACAGTGTAGCGATCAGCTACAGTGAGGTCTTGTACATTCGTGCTAACGACCGTACCGCAAGTGAGACCATCGCACTCACTCGCAGTACATCCACATGAATTTGGGCGATTCAGGATATTATTTAGATCGTCATCTGATGAACAAGCGGCAGGCATCTTCACGGATCGACACTGACAGCTCACCCTTGGCTCGTACCTTCTGAGCCAAGGTAATCCAAGCATGACATCAAATTTGTCATCCAGATCCAGTACGATGAAGTCATCATCGTACTGTTCGTCCTCAAACGTGTAGTGGATACCTACTACGTGTTCCCAACGGTAATCGATGCGCCTGTGGCGATGTGCACCGTCATCCTCGCTAGGGGAATATGGCGATCAGCGAATTTAAGCCCACGCTCCTCCAGTGACTGGCGACGAATATAATTATCCGACACCCCACAGTCAACCAAAGGACGAAGTGACATATCTTTTGTCATTTCTAACTTCAAGGTGATGAGTGATACCTCATCGCCAGGTGCAGAGACACACAGTGACTGTGCATCTGGAGCAACTTTCGTCAAGAGGTTCGCAAATTCTCTTGAAGTCGCTTGATGAGTAGGACACTTCGCCCCTACTGACCCCGACCATTTTTTGGTGGTCCGCTTCGCTGTTGCGGTCTCGCAACAGCGTTGGACCCATGCCCATTGCCCTGTTTGACAAATGGACGACCATTTCGCTCAGTCCTGCTAGGTACTGGGCGAGGGGCACTACACTCGTAAGCGGAGTGTACCAACTTCTGGCAGCGATTGCACTTCTGCAATCGCTTGTTGTTCGAAGAGCGAGGTCTCTCGCTCTCAACATAACAGATGCCCATTGGTTCTGGACCTCCGGTCTCTTCTCGTCGCGGTGGGCGATATGAGCTCGAGCTGGCATGATCCTGTCTCATGCTAAAGCTCTTCTGTTCCGAAGCCGAGATAGCATTTTTCGACTATTCGAGCCCAAGTGTGATTCCTGACAAGCCCGTCTGCGAGGCCTTGCATGAACAGAGTAATCAATGTGTTCGTGTAATGGATTAGTAGTTATACCACTCGCGAGGAGTCGTATTTGCTGAGCATAAGCGAGCACATCATGCTTACCTTGCTTGAGTTTTTGAAGCTCTAATAGATCCCTGAACTCAATTCGAGGCGGTTCAAACGATTGTATGAGGCGGGTCTTAACGGATTCGAGCGGATCAAAGCATACGGGTCACTCATCTCGAGCCTTAAGGCCCAAGTCTTGGCACGTCCCGCTTAGTGGGCTCGGAAAAATGTTAGTTTCATTTGCTCATCGTCGATGCGACGTGCTTTTATGGCCCTGTCTAATTCGACAAACCGTAACTACAGGGAGTCTTCCTCGACTCCTCTGTACTTGGAGATGTCAACCTTCAAGATTTCGGGACGACGCACACTCGTCGTCCCGACCATAGCAGCATTGAACTGCTGCTGTCTCAACAGTTCTGTATGTTGAGTACCGAGTTCTTTCAACTACTTGGCCTGTTGCGAGCCTCGCTTGGAAGCAAGGCTACTTTCTCTCTTTCGGCGCGAAGTTCATGTTGAATGAACTTGGCGATAGCGGCATGTTGTTGGTCTCTGTCAAGAGAACCAACATGGCGCAAACGACAGTGTCGCCTACGGTAGAACTCATTCGTCCTACCGCATCCTATCGAGACCAATCAAGTGGGTAATGCCTTCACATGTGGCGTGAAAGCATATCTCCTCATATATAATGTTCATGACGGATGAGATGGTGGTGGTCGCTGGACGGACTACAAAGTGCTACCAGGTGTAACGGGGCACGCCTTGTGTCAATTCAACACAAGCTTGTGTGCACCCGTCGTCACGTTCACGTGGCGTCAGGAAGTGCACCAAAGCAAACAGAACCCGAAAGCTCGGTCAAAGGGAAAAGTTGAACTACATATAATATAGTTATGTTGCTTTATAAACCATCTTTTGTCCTAATCTTACTTTATAAAATTAGCATCTCCTATGTGGGTTTCTTGCCCACCACCCATTGCGCGCGTCCAGCAGCGATTGGAGGTTAATCTGGTTGATGTACCGTGAACATCAGCCATCAGGTGGAGCAACCCACCAAAGAAATTTACCCTCGAAGGTAATATGCCGCCAACATCACCTCTTCTCGAGTGATATTGATTGACTATTATCAAAAATAGATAATACCCAAAATTAATACTAATGTATCAATTGTATGTAACCGGCTCATTCCGTTACACTCCACCCACGACTGTACTTGGCAAGAAGAACGTAAAACGAGCCAGATACGCCAGAACTTGTATTCGGCGGCAGTGTGCTACTGCTGGAAGCGATGTAGTAGAAGCTGACGTGGAAGTTGTGGAAGTGGCGGAGCCTTACGACGGTCACAATCACTCACATGGTGACAAAATGTGAGTATGACTTCCATTTTGAGTTAAATATGTACACGAATGATCGTGTGCGGTCACGTCGTACGCATCAATTTTAATAGCGTGACTGAAATGTTGGCTACATCGAGACGAATCAAGCGCCACGACTAGCTCTATGGATCCATTCTTTCGACGCCCGGATCGAAGCAGAGGGCACCGTCGTCAAGCTGAACCTCTTTTCTCATTCTCCATACCAAAACAACACCGAAAAAGTCATTCTTGAGATCCTCGCTCGATCGACAACTTCTTGAGAAGGCTGAATTACATTAGATCATAGCTTTACTGGCCGTGTATCGTCCTGTTTCCGAACATGGCGCGGCGAAAGCTAATGGTCATTGACTTTGACCGCTGTAAAGGTCGGATAAAAGTAAAGTTTTGTTGATGATCGAACGATGCTAATCTCGGAAAGGCTTCTAGATCGATGCCTTCCGGCCGAGCAAATTGAGATTCAGAGCCGTATGGTGGTGCATTGACATGCGCGTCATGAGAAAGCATGACGACGCATGCCCTACAGATGATAAATAATCGATTGTGTGAGCTACGAGACACGTGCACCGTGATCACACAGATAGTCCAGGACGTCGATTGCAAGTCTAATTGCTTGTTTCTGGACAGTCCTCGCCTCTCAGGGTTGGGTGCGATCACTGTTGAAGGAACAGGGACCAAGTTATCTTCGCAGATTAGCACCCTTTGCAAACTAATGCGCCAGGTCAGACGCAGATAGGCCGGACCAGACTTCGCCACTCAACCTATCATTTTTAAATCAGCACCCGACTACAGACGTCCACCACTTCCTTCTCCAGTCTTCCCTCAGTCGGTTGTGAGACCGCTTTATCATGCGCTTCCAAGAAATTTACCTGCTGCTACTTGCCGCCTTCATGACTTGCTGCAGACCTACCGCTGTGGCTGGAAACAGTATACGGCCCCGATTAGACACGCAAACCAATGGAGCGCTCACCGTCGATGATCGCGACGCACACAAGGTGAAAACGAAGGCGTTCACCGCCGATGATCGCGACGCACACAAGGTGAAAACGAAGGCGCTCACCGCCGATGATCTCGACGCACACAAGGTGAAAACGAAGGCGCTCACCGCCGATGATCGCGACGCACACAAGGTGAAAACGAAGGCGCTCGACTTTGCGGCCAAAGACGAGGAGAGATGGTGGATCATCATTCCAATACCGGCCTTTGTCACGCGCATGATCTTTGCTATTCCTCGAGCTATTTATCGCGCTATCAAGGGCGCGTTTCGGCTTCCTGGAAATGTGGCTCATGGTGCTTTAGGCAAGAAAGACGCGAAAAAACTTGTTAGAGCTCGTCATCCATCATAAGGATAAGTCACGTTTGTATCAGATGGAAGCGTACTGAGTCAGAGCGGAGACTGGAGCAAAGCGGAATGTGATACGTCTTTTAGCAAGAGGCACATCTCAATAATCTGTACCACTTAAACCACAGCGTCAATACTGCGTTCGAGGTTTTGCTTCACACCAGAATCTAGAGACTCGTCAACCGACAATTACTGTATATAGACAGCGGCCTTGTTCCTCGAGATAGATCGACTAAGCTCATTATGACGCAGACCCTTCCTACGATCACTGCTACGTTAGCCACCGGCTCGTGGTGATCAATACACTTCGAGTCATTCTAGCTCATACAGAAACAAAAAATGTATCCGAACGACTGTTGAGGTGTCGAGGTAAGCCTTTCTTGGTCTTCTCCTGAGCCAATGTTTTGCCGATCAAGCGTCCGAATGCGTTTGCTGGCCCTTCGCGTACTTCTCAGACCACACGATTGAAGAAAAGATAGCAGACCGTAGGTGTCTATGTTTTTCTCACCGTTTTGAGTGCTGTCTGGTCTGCCTCAAATGTTGCACGTTTCGAAGGATCTTGTTCATGATCTCGCCATCAGTATTGAACGACTCCATCATTTTCGGGAGCACACAAATCAGATCTCTTCGCTGTTTATAGCTGAAAAAGATGTATGCACAGTGTCTGTAGACGTCTGAATAAATCGCTGTTGCCTCATTCAATTTTCATGTACATCGCATTTGCCCGACGCATCACGCGCCTTCGTCAGCCATTCCTCCATCAATGAGTGCATCTCGTCCACTGCACTTCGAGCCAGATGAATTGAATCAAAGACAACGGCTCACGGTATATACACGCGTCATCAAATACTCTTGCTACTAAGAAACGTCTTCCACGTGAGCCAGACACAACTTCCACGTGCATAACATCAGCTTTCCCGTCACAAGAAACTGTTGGCATCAATAAAATTGTGGAGCTCCCCAAGACAAGGAAGTATCAGCATCAATCTTGCAGTCTGACGTACGTGTTCGTAGCCCTTTCGCTGCATTGTAGGTTTGGAGAGACATCGTGACATGGTGTCGATCATAACCTCTTTTTACACCAATTCGCACTTTATTTAGGGAAACGTTACCACCCCCAGGTTTTCGTTAACCACCCCCACCCCTGTATATATCCGTAATTTACTCAATTTACGCTTTCTGATGGGTAGGATCGAGAACATTACCGGTCTCAGAAGTAATTTACAATCTCATTTACAAATTGATAGAGTACTAAATCCGAACAATCTATGCATGTCTTTAAGTCGGCGACGTGTTGTAATTTATTATTCAGCTACTTCATTTGACCGAGCCATTACTCGGTCAAATCAAAATATTATACGAGCGATTCTGGAACAGGTTGGGCTTGTAGCGATTATCCTGCATGGGCACTGTGACGAGGACATCCCACAACACTATATTCGAAAGTAACTATAAGTAATCCGCAGAGGCCTATCAAGAGGTACATCGATCGTAGTGATACCTGTACGATAAACAAACTAGGCTAACGTATTATTTGATGATGGTAGTTGTAACGGGGTGAACCGGTTACATAAAATTGACATTACTCGTAAGGGGTAAGGTTGAAGGAATATTACCCCCGAGGGTAAATTTCTTTGGTGGGTTGCTCCACCTGATGGCTGATGTTCACGGTACATCAACCAGATTAACCTCCAATCGCTGCTGGACGCGCGCAATGGGTGGTGGGCAAGAAACCCACATATGAGATGCTAATTTTATAAAGTAAGATTAGGACAAAAGATGGTTTATAAAGCAACATAACTATATATAATACAGTTCAACTTTTCCCTTAGACAGAGCTTTCGGGTTCTGTTTTCTTTAGTGCATTAAACGGGGTGAGAGCCCGTTACCGTCGTACACTATCTAATTGCTTGACGAAGTGCTCTTAGTTACAAGGTAAATTTAACTCTGTTTTATTTTATGGTTTTGTAATTCGCAATAAGTGCGAATATGTACCCTAGCTCATGGTAACCACTCAAATAAACGATTAATTATTATCGGTTAATTATTGGGTCTGGCTCCCTAATAATAAACCAATAATAAATAGACGCGCAGTATCCTCTATCCGGATACTGCCTACACTTATTATATATAAATGTTATGGCTACTTAATATAATGGGTTCCACCATTTCATCACCCCCTCTTTTAGTTGCGCTTACCGTGACGTAAGCGCTCAAAACAAAAAGATTCTTCCCAATGAATAGTCCAACGAAAAGCACAACAAAAAACTATAACGGCAATCAACTGGGCAGCATGAATCATGAACACCCCCCGCGACTCGACCCCAGACAACGGCTGGGGTCATCAGACACTTTAAAGAGAGCATGCACCACAGGTCATGGATGACGACTTGAAGCCCTGGGGCTTTTACAGCCTCGAAGGCGCTCAGCAACCTAAATCTCTTGAATTAATGAAGGACCTCTTTACACGATACCGTACCGTTCGAGGTAAAGGAACGAATCACGCGTACACGGAAAACGCACTGCAACGATCTTGGTGTGCCTTCATCAGACGCTGGAATGCGAGTCGACGTGAAGGAACATCCTTCACGTCCTGGATCGAGCGACGCGAAAACACTATGGCGTCCACGCTATTGGCGACTTACGCCGACGCGTATGTCGTCTGACTCGCGATGAGCTCCACATGTGTTACGTCCACGTTCGTGAAGGGTGCCCATCGTGTTACGGGGAGAGGCCGCGACCAATGCGGCAGGAATGGGACGACACGGTGTGTACACGGAAAATGACCTAGCACATCCGACCATGGATCGGCCGCTATGAGAGGAGCCTCTCAGAGCTCCAAGTATCTGCGTTGCGTCACATGAGGAAGCGCCCTGTCGATCAGTGGAGGCGTTTGCGTAGCCGAGATCAATTGTCTTACGACCAACGTGGTCGTTCTCGTAGTCTCTATCGATCGTCAAGGAATCCAAATGCTCCCGAGTCTCGTAGAAGACCTCGGAGTCGCTCGGGAGATCGTCGTCGATCGCCAATTCACAAGCGTCACGATTCGCGGGATCGTGGAGGGAGTCAACTGCGTCGGTCGCGTTCGCCAACCTCTTACTGGACTCGTACTTCTCAACGACGCCAGTAACATCGCGAGCCAACATACTTCGAGGCTCACACGAGTCTTTCGTTGGTGAATAACCCAACCATCGAACCTTATAATGCGTTTCGGGACAATTCTTCGATGGCGCCGAGTCACTACTAGTCGCAAGAGGCGTGGGGTCCTCATGACCGACGACACGGTCCACAATCCAGCGTCGCTCACCCGATGCATCCATCAAGTGAGAAAGAGCATCACGACGGAAGGCCTATTGGATTGGGCGCCGATTCACATGATCGGGCGCCTGTGTCGTCGAGTGACGAGCTGCACTTCCTTCGAGCTGACACTGAAGAGGCGAAGAACGCCTTACTGGATGCCCGTAAGATGACCGATAGTGCTCACGATCGTGCAGCAGCTGCGACGGAGGCTGCCGAGAGGACTCGACGGGAGCAGCGGGGCTTCGTGGAGCGGCTACGCCAGCTTGAGACTGCTGCGGTTGGTGGACCCCAGCAGATCGAGTCTGCACGCGCTCTTGCAGGACTTGGTCCCAGTCGTCGCCAGCGTCGTCGACAGGGGGTGTCGGACTATGAGCCGGCGCAGAAGAGCGGGGAAGATTCCTAGGGAGATCCGCCGTCAGGTAAGCCTTAAGGCGCCCGACATAGATCGTTGGGTGCAAACGCATAGTGGTAGGTATGTCTAGCGCGTAGGCATCCCCATGTACCTTAACAACCCGGAAGGGGCCAATATATCTCGGTGCTAACTAATTAGCACCCAAGTTCGTCACTGATGTGTTTGGTAATCCACTGGTCGATAGCAAGACTCGGTCAACTTTTTTGAACGTCAATGTGTGCTTTCGACCTCTCTTGTCAGCGTTATCCTTTTGTTTATCCACTGCTTGTAAAAGGGCATTACGATCAAAACGAGTGATGCCTTGTCGTAATAATAAGAATTCGGTCACAGCAGCCGAACTTATAGGTGAAGTGGACCCTTTGGGGGCAAAATTAGCGATGGGAGATGCGGTGGTAAGCGTCGCGTCGGGACTTGATATGCCATTGGCCACGACATCAACAGAATGATTTGCATCGGCAGCAACCTTATCTTCAGCATAATCAATCATCATATTTTTCCGCGCAGTGTCATTGGCAGATACTCCCCCACCAAGCTGAAAAACCGGGTGTTCTGAAGCTTAAAGAGCAAGAAGCGCGGGAACGCGAGGGTGCCTCGCGTTGTTCACGAAAAATGGCGTCAACCCTGTTGACGCATGAACTGCATTGTTGAGTGCAAATTCAGCGAGTGGGAGAAACGAACTCCACGACGTGAACGATGTCGCGTAGTTGCGTAGGACATCTTCAAGCACTCTGTTTACGCGCTCCGTTTGCCCATACGTCTCTGGATGGGCTGCCGTAGACATTAGCAGTTGCGTGCCCAATTCTTGAAACAACTCTACCTAAAAAGCTGATGTGAAACGCGGGTCACTGCCGAAACAATGGGTTCTGGCAGGCCGAGATGCCGGAATATAAGATCGATAAAGATCTGCGCGGTCGTCTCCGCCGTAACGTGCGTGGAGACTGGAGGGAAATGTAGCATTTTACTGAAGCGATCGACAAGAAACAGTACGCCTGTGCGTTTCTGTTTATCCGGTGGGAGACCAAAGATGAAATCCATCCTGACGGAACGCCAGGCTTCCTTGGGAATCGGAAGCGGTCTTAATGGGGCCTGTGTAGACGGTGCAAATTTCACACGCTGACACGTTCCACAAGAGCGCACCCATTTCTGGGTGTATTTGTACATACGCGGATAGAAAAACACACGAGAAATGGACGCGAACTTCTTCTCGCGAACAAAAGGCCGCCAGCTGGAGTGTCATGAAATTCATGTACCAATCGTGCGCGGAGGTCGTCATCAGCAGGGATGACGACGCG